CTTTTTAAATATGGGTCACTTGGCCATAATCAATAGAAAGGATGGAAAAGTTCAAAGCTTGAGAACAGTTCAGGCAGATAGCAGAATTTTTTTTAAAAGGCTTCTCTTTAAAATATGCTAATTGAGACAAAAATACAACTGTGAGAAGCATGCAAAATAAGATCTTGTTCCTGGTGGTTTTGTTTTCTTTACAGCACTGTTCATGCTTTTCCCATCTACTTATAAGTGTGTTTTACAACTTGGATGGGAATTATTCCTCCCCAACAGGGTGTTGTGAACATTTGGGGACTGAGAAAACAGGAGGGAATCCAGACAGTCACTAGTCTCTTCTCAAAAAGGAAAAAAACACCCCACTAATAAACTACTGGGTTTTTTTAAAGCCTTTGGAAGTGTGATGTGCCACAGCACTGGGATTTACCAGGCAAGCTCCCTTCTTGAGCATAAAATAATGATGAAGCCTTAGAATTCTGGTAGTTTAGGTTCAGGTATGAATTCTTATTGGTGGAAACTTATATTTTAAGTTTCTAGAATGAAGAATCGGGCTTTTTGATTAGACAAGGACTAACACCCACAGTCAGCATCTGTTACAAGCTCTAAAACGTAAAAGAAAGTTAATGGATGTTCCAAAGCCTGATGATCTTGGCTGCTTTTCTTTCAATTTGTAATGGGTTTTTCAGGCAAAGAGGAAGGGGCAATCTCAGCAGGGTTTATTTTGAATGACTGCACCTTCCTCTCCATTTGTTACATCTGTAGTGAACTTAGAAGTCTTTTCTGTTATCTTTCCCTCTCTAGTTACATTTTTTGCCAGAGGTTTCACTTTGATTTTCAAATTTCAGAACATATGTAAAACTTGGCTTATACCAAGGCAAGTTGTTAAACAGGCTCCCAAAAGCAAAGCTGCTTTAAAGAACCTGCTTAAGCAGAAAGCTCATGAAATCCTGCACACAGCCTTATACAGTACCTGCCTAGAGATGTGATACACCCTTTGTCTTGTGGTGGCCCCTGGGGGCCTGTATCCCACTGCACTGAGCAATCTCCAAATCTGCAGGAGAGCGCAAGCAAGCATCCTGCTGTGGGAAGAGTGTGGTCCATGGCAAAGGGGAAACTGGAAAGAATTCTCACCACCCATCTTTTGGCAACCAATTTAGCAGTTAAATGTAACCAGCTGGTCTCCCCAGGCTCCCTCTGTAGTCGAGGGAGGGAAAGCAAAGCTCCTGCAGAGGGTCATTCAGTGCACCCAAATGAGCCTTACTCTGAATTGTCCTCTCTCTCATCCGTGACTGGAAAAGGAGTTAGAAGAGACTACCCGGGTAATTTAGCCAGCTAAGATGGGTGGTCTGAATAATTCCTTCCCCACCAACCTCTAAAAGCCTGCCTAGGTACCCCACAGAGATTGGCATGCTGACAGAGTGATCGATTCCCAGGCACGTCAGCAGCTCAGTGATCTGTGCTCTCGCCTGCTCTGGAGAAATGGGATGCTCGAGGAACTTACCTGGTCCTGTTGGACCCTGTCGCTCCCAGCCAGGACAGAGAGCTGAGCTGACCCTCGTGCTGTCAGCGTGGTGCTGTAGGACTGCTTGTGGCAATGGTCAGATTTGGGGTTTTTTCCCTACCTGACAGACTGTCCTCAAGCCTGGCCAGAGACCACTGGCGTGGCAGCAGCTGCAGGTCAGCCTGCAGTCAGAGCTGTCTCACAGCAGAAGTTAAAGTGGCTCCAATGCTGCACAGAGAAGACAGGGCTGCTCCTACCTCCTTCCCAAGAAATTAGTTTGGTCCGTTCCTGCGGGCCCCCCTCCTCCTCACTCACTCAGAGCCACGAAGAGAGGCTTGCTCTCAGGGAGGGCAGCAAGGCACAGCAGCACGGGCACCTCCCAGTGAGGGAATGACTGCAACACCCACAGCGCCGCTGAGGCCCGAACCGAGGGCAATAACCTCCGGCAGGCACGGCCTTCCACAGCAACAGGGAAAAGCAGAGGATTAACGGGACTCACCTGCTTTGCTGTGGTGAGAGGAGGAGCCCTGAAAAACACTCAGCCTTACTAGAGTCACCACATTTTCCTTCACCTCATACCCACCTGGGCGTCCCGGCAGCCTCCTGCCCGCCCTGCTTCCCTCCGGCAGCGGGGGAAGGCGGGCTGGGCTCCCAGGCCCGGCTCACTCCAGGCTGGCACCGCTCGGGAAGAACTTCCAGCCCTCCCTGCCACGCTCGTCCTCCAGTGCTGAGGGAGCTGCTTTCCAGGCACAGCTGGAGGATACATGGAAAAGCCAAAAGGACATTGACTTGCCTCAAAATTCCCGGTCTAAATATTGCATCACCAGAATGACGTGCATTTTGGAGAGAAACACCTTCAGGACGAGCAAAACCTTTTGTGTGGAGAACAAATGTTCCCAGACACTTTCCAAAAGGGCCAGATCCATGCAAGTAACTAAGATGTTAATGCAAGAAGAATTTTCATTTGTAGGATTAAATAGGTACTTTCTTTTTGTGTCTAAAAGTGAGCCACAGCTTTGCAGTACTTCTAAATCACTGCTTGTCCATGCTTGACCAGAAAAGGATCTGACCTTGGCAGCTGTTTAACTTGCTGCTCAAAGACCAGCAAAGTCTGGCTCTCAACTGTTTGAACAGTGGAAGAGTCCTTTTACAGCCGGCCTTATTAAAGCACAGGATTTTATTAGCTGTTTTGTGGTAATAAGTTGAAGTACAATGTTGTGGAATGCTCCTTCAGGAGATTTGGAATCTTGTGTACTTTGGGGTTTACTTTCCTCATTCTGACTAGGGCACCTAGCAACCCACCAATGCTACAGCTTCATTGTAAGGCTCTCTTCCTTCAAGCCACCTTTGACAACTGATTTTTCACCCAGGTAGGGGAAATTTACAATTTGAAGAACTATAAGAAAAATATGTTATTGCCCTATTGTTCTGTTTGTTTGGTGGTTTTTTGGTTTTTTTTTTTGGTTGGGTTTTTTTTAAAACCTTTGCATATTTTCAGGTACTTGGAAAAACTCAAGATATAGAGTAAAAAAATCACACACACATAGAGAAATGTTGGACACTCAAAACATCAAAGCTAATGTGGTTTTCCTCTTTGACAAATTTATTTAAAGTTCTGTGGTAATTGTATCACAGCATTTTTAACAGATTGTAAACAACCCTTTTTCCTGAAAACCACTTTTGGGGCACATGAAATTTCAATTAGCATTTGGGAATACCTGCCAGGAAGTTTTCACAAACATCTTAACAAATATGTCTGTATTATTTTACAAAAGAACAAAGTATTTTGACAAATTTCAGCAATTTCCCATCATCTTTTGTTTCATAACTCTAATGGGAAACAAAGAGAAGCAAAGCTTCCAAATAATTGATGAGCTTTAATGAGAACTGTGTTGCTTTGGACTATTAATGCCAAAGTAAAGACTGAAACACAAGATTTTGGGTTTGGGACTGACTGTGGAAGACTTTTTGGGAGTGAAAGGTACATGTCCTCAAAACCCACTGGGTAACACCTTTATGGTCACCACTAGAAATCCTACTGACATTTTACTCAGAAGGGAGTAAAATGAGACATTTCACTTAGAGATCCTTCCTGACACTGCCCAGTTTGCCAGTTTAAGCAAGACTCAGCTGCCCAAGCCTCCAGTTTTGGAGGTTCAACTTTGAAAATAAATTCAGGAGCAATATTTCACAGTACATAAAAAATTCCAGATAGTTCCTTTTTTTAATCACACTTTTCTCCAGACTCCCATCCAAGAGAAATTCTACCATGTTACTCTGAAAACACCAGCAAGCACAAAAGGAAGCAGAGGCATTGGTGATTTGAAGGACCTTGGTCCCAAGATATTCCCAGAAGGTTGGACCTATGTTACATTGCAAAGATAAGCCAAAAAGTCTGCAGCAGCCTTTTCACAAACTATCCCCTTGGAACAAGAGCTACTCTTGCACTAGTCTAAGTTGCTCATTTATCTACACTTACCTGCAACCCAGCTATGACAGCCATTCTCAAGCTAGAGGATTCAGGCCTATGCTTGGTCTTCACTTTTTTCTTTTTAATCGAAGCAGCATCCATGTCTGTAGAACCTTCTACAAGCAGCTGTTTTCCAAGATAAACTAAATAGAACTATTTATTGCAAATGTTGCTGCCCTGTGGCAAATGACAGGAGGCAGAGCACAAGAGCCGCATGCTATCCTGCTTATAACAAGGTCCCTGGAGCCATTATTGTTTCATTAATCTCTTTAGCCAGCTAATCATAGGAGCACATTCTACAGCTTGTAAAGCAGCAATTAAGATTTTGCTCTTTTTCGTGCTCTGTACTTAGTGCTCAACAGCAAGAAGCCCATAACTGAAACAACTCCCTCCCCAGCTGACACAAGACAGTTCCTTATTAACAGGGCCAGGGAAGTTCCTTGGGGGAGGGATCACAAATTCTTTGCACCTGTAGGGCACACAATACTTATCTGTGCTGGGCTCAGAGCAGTCAGTGCATGATGCTAAACCCAGAATTACATTTTTGAGACCCGGCTTAGATGCAGCCAAGCACATTTCTTGCTCTTGGACAATTCGTCCCTTCCACTTTTGGAGTGATAAAGAAGAGGTATGACATAACATACTACATACGTACCAAGAAAAACATTGCTGTGGCTGCGCAGAGTCCTTTGGAAACACAAACTGAACCACTGAGAGGACAGCAGTGCTTTATTTTTCACTTTTCAGTTCTTTTGGAAGACTAAGATTATCTGTAGAAGCTCCTCACATAAGCAACCATAGCACAGTTTCATACCAAATTCCGCTTTACAGGGTCTTTGAACACCAAGTTCCTTAGTTCAGAGAACTAGCGTCAAGTCATAAGAAACAAAAACTGGAGAACCAACACCAACCTCAGAAACATTCCCAGTGAATGGCATGTTTCAGCTGCACAAAATAAGGGCATGGATTATTCTTCATGTAATTCATGCTGGGAGAAACACAGAAAAAACCAAGCAGGCAAAGAGGCAACAACAGCAGTGCAGCACGCCTAAAACTTTAATCTTTGTTTTTAAAGAGTACAGAATTGAAAGTGACGCATTCTTCTCCTTTCCACCCTCCCATTCTCTATTCCATTGCTTCCCAAGTTCTCTCTAAGAGGAAATATTTCTTTGTTGATTAGTTTGACTTCCCTTCAAGAGAGGCATAGAAGTTAATCTCCAAAAGTAGGCCCCAAAGCAGTGAAACACTGGCACATGCACTCCAGTCCCCTCCCATTCATGGCATCATTTAAGTGCAATTCCTGAACACCATTTTCAGTAGGGATGTTTTTACTTAACCAAAGAGGGGAGGAGGAGGTATATTCGTGTGGTCTTAACCAGGGAGGGAAGGAAGACATACAAAATCCATCGTCTTGTTTCCCAATTTAAAGGCAGTTTTAGAAGCAGTCTGTCACTGACACATTGTTAAAATCTTAAGCAGCAGCTTAACTGGAAAAGTTTTGTAGCAGTAAGAAACCCCAGGGCACTTCAAAAACGGGAGCTTTGAAATCGCTGCTCAATGCCAGCTAAAGCAGCCTCACAAGGTCAATCAGACTTTTAAGTGTAAACACCCTCTGCTCCTAATGCCATTAAGTAAACACACTTCATTAATACAATTATATAAAGAGGAAGACTGGCAAGACAATACAAAAGATTACCAAGAATGGGAAAACCTACAGAGTTCAGAAAACAAGATTCTGGAAAATGAAAGTGGACTTTATTTTACACTGTAGGCTTTCACTTTTTATCCTTTTGAAATACATTTCATTTTAAATTAATAAAGATCATAAACTAATAAATTGATATGTTCTCTAAACAAACATAATAAAAATTCAGACATTACACCACAGGACCCATCATTTAAATATGCCAATAATAGAACAGTTAAAGTGATGCTGGCTACTGTGAGGATAAAAGATGTGGCTCTAAGGAGAAGTGTGGATTAGAGGAGAATTGAGAGTAAAGCAGGTGATGCCTTAGTCTGAATCTGAGCTCTCTTGCTTGCTGGTATGGTACTGGCTGACTGCTTCCTCCAAAGGAGCCATTGTCCCATCCGGCCGCACTCCCATTGGCTTTATGAGCTCATCTCTGTGAGGGATTGAAAGAAAGAATCCATATTAGCATGTGCACACATATCAATTCCCATGTGTATAATACAGTCACATACAGTATCTGCTTTGGTACATAATGAGCCTCTAAAAGGAAGTTATTCCTGCTAAAGCCGTCTGTTTTGAAGAAAAAGGCACAAAAAACCTTCCCAAATAGGTGGGAGGGGAAGAGCAGGACAGATAAAGACTTCATTCATGTAGGCCCAACCTACTTAGCCAATTAAAGATGCCATGAAAAGTCAGTGCCTAATAGGCTCAAGACAAGGAGCAGGTTCACTGTTTTGGATACACAAACTAGCTTTTCTTCTGAGAGTTTTCTAACAGACCGTTCTTCCTAAAATTCCACCTGCCATTCTGGCTAACACATACCCAAGCAATTAAAGCAATGATTTGATACATATTCATCTTGTTGAAGGAAATAAATCAGTTAAGAGAACAGATTCTGCCTACACTACTACTAGGGGTGTGTTAAGGACTTGCTGATTCATTTTAAAATAACTGACTGATTCTAAAACTATTGCTTTTGTTTATGGCAGTTTAATTACAGGATTTACAGCCATTTTAATCTCTTCAAAGCTCCAAAGGCTGCTCAGCGGTTAATCCAATTATATCTACTCCAAAAGCTACAGCCTCATCTAAGAGATGATTAATTATTGATTAAGACAATCAAAAAGTATTAGCACAGATTTATTCTATCCTTACTTTTTATCACCTCGTTTATATGTGGATTATAGCAAAAGCTGTAAGGGCAAAGATAACATTTTGATTTTATGCTGAAAAAAAAAGGGAAAATACCTCTAAATATTCAGGAATCGCCTAAATAAAGGAGCAGAGGTTTGATGTTAATTTACCCCTCATTTGAAAGGCAGCTCAGTAAAACCATGTTATTTTAAAAAATTGTTATTTAAAAATTGTTATGTTATTTATTTATTTATGTTTATGTTATTTAAAAAAATTTTAACATACATCTACCATCCTCCCAAGCCACGGACAATAAAACTGCATCACTTGGTGGGGAAGCACAGCCATCTCACCAGCTCTCTGCCTGGTCTGCACTACTACCTTGGCTGAAAAAAGGGACAACAATTCCGTGAACACAGCTGGCAATCAATCCAACCTCGATGCACCCACAGGAAAAGCAAGAAAGGCAACACCTGTGTTACATGGCATGCATATGCCAGACACTGTACAGTCAAGATGCAGTTAAATCAAATCTCAAAAAGATGTGATTAAACAGCAAGATAAATTCAGCTGTTTGTGCAGATGTGACAATCAGATCCTACAGTGATAAACTCATAAATCCCACATGAGAAACAATTGCTGTGGCTTGGCTGACCAAGTCTGGTGGGAAGCCTGAGTCCAGGGAAGGAGGTTTGCAAGACCAGATCAAAAGAGCACTGGGCAGGCTCTCCCTCAGTGTGTGTGGAAGAGCAGGATCCGTCTTTAAACAGACTGGAGAGAGTTAGCCATTACTTCAGGATTGCCAGTGAGTCCCCTCCCTTCTGGCAATGCAATCCATAGTGTGCAGATTCTGCCCAAGTGACAGCAGTCAGAGAATCTCTTAAAGATGTATGGAAAAGACACCTCTGAGCTCTTGAAATCAGATTCAAATGGGCTCAAAACATGAAAACTGCAAATCTGGTGTCCAAAGAGGACCAGAACCCTGCCTGCTGTAGGGGTACCCCAAAGGCAAAACAGGGGAATGCTTTGGAGTTGTGTATAATAGCAAAGACTTTTTTTCCCCCTGAGAAAGAATCCTATAAATCTAAGGTCTTTTTGGTTTTCAAACTTAAAACATCATACAAAACAAGTAATATCTAAAATGCAAAAATGTAGCCATGAAGAACAGAATCAACATTGCTTGCCCTTTAATAAAGCTGAAAGGATCCTAGATTTTTGTTTTAAAAATCCCAAAGCGTATTTTTAAATTCCAACATTTAATACTGCAGTCAGAGGTCAAGAAATCACCTAATTTTCTAGTCATTTACCATTTATTTTTGGTAATAAATGAATTATAATGGCTAATAAAGGATAACAATTTGTTCATGAAAAAGGGAGGAGAAACACAAGAAAACAAGGTCCAATGGTACCTTTATGTGGGGACCTCCCGCTCCTCCCAACAATTCTTAGGACTCTAAATATTGTCAAGAAGTCCTATCTCATTATTTGTCAATTATAAAAGCAAAGCTCTTTCTCTGGGGCTTCCCTTTTCCAGCCTCACTTTCACATCCCACTTTAGCTTTAGGCTTTAACCATGGGAGCCAGGCTGAGCTCACATTGCACAGAGTAACAAGGATGCTCATCAAGTACCTTTCTGTTCCTGCCTGAGCTTCCTGCTTTGCAGGATGGGAGAGGGCTCGTAGGGGTTTGCTGTTCTCTGCATTAGGAGGCTGAATTCCACACATCCTTCCTCAGCCAAGTGCTACCCAGTAAAACTGAACTGTGTGAAGACCGAAATATGCCAAGCCACCAAAGGAAAAGGGAGGAGAAACAAAGATCAGCCTATTTTGTTTCTAACCACAATCTGGGCCTCAACTGTGCTCTGACACCCTGGGCTACCTGAGGATGTGCTCACTGTCCACAGGGAGAGAAAGACAAGGTGGGAAAGAAAGTGCCAGGAACTGACAGGTAGAGCCTCAGAAAACAGGTCACTGTCCAGAAACTGGATGTTTATAGCACATCCATAGGGCAGAATATTGCTGGCCTCAGCCCAGTAGGTGGCAGTGGGAGTTATTCCATATCTATGAAGTTCCATACAAGCACACAATGTGTGTATTTATACATGTTTGAACATGCTTAGGTGACCTTCCACATACTCAAACGCATCTTGTAACATTTATTTTTCTAATGCAAATAAAGCATTCTATTCAAGTGTACTTAGGAACACACCATAATTAAACAGTTGGTAAAAAGCATTCTCTTCTTCCACTAGCAGATCTCCTAGAGTCCCTTCAAAAATCTCCATACATGTTCAGCCTTCCTGCTTGCCATTTAGCTTGATTACGACTAAAAAATCATTGCCTTGTTTTGAAGGGTGACTCCTGCCCGCTGTCTGTGCTGCAGGGCTGCACTGCCACACAGCATTAATGATGGTGGCTGTAATCAAACAGCCATCATGTAAACACCAGCCTGCCCCTTTGATAAAACAGCATCTTGGGGACCTATTCACCTCCTTATAATTGAGTGCCAAATAATAGTTCCGATCCTTTCAGGGAACATTATTTTGCTCTATGACAAAAAATGGGAAGAAAAAAAACAAACTCGATGTAGCATTGCCTTCTTCATTGATCCTATGATTAATTTTGTGTTTTTAATGAGTACGGTACCTTATTTAGACAGGTTCTCTTACTTGTTTTGTTGACTTCTGTTCAACGTACAACAAAACCCAAGCTGTGATAATTGGAGACCATTTTATCAGCAAAAGGATTCTTGCTATTAATACAAGGTTGGCTTGGGAAAAGCATCCTGACATTCTAAATTAGTCAATTAATATACAATTCTACCTACCATTTACAATAGAAAAAATGTTAGCATTTTTTCCAGACATTTTAATTAACACGGAGTATCTCCAATAATCTATTATATGGCAGAATATCACAGGACACTGACTTAAGTTGGCTAACTAGATGTTCTGTAAAAAAAAAAATGGAAGGCTGAATTAAATCCTTGCAGATCTGTGGAGTTTTTCAAAGCTGAAAGATGTGCATCCTGTGCAGAGGATACCGATTTACAGTCATCAAACAGTCCCCAAAGAACCAACAAGACACTACTGCAGGCAAAACCCACAGAGTTACATCAGGGCCAAGTTCAGGCATCCAGATTTAGCCTAAGTAGTATATACATCTCCCAAGAAATGCAATAATTGAGATTTCTCATGTTCATTTATACTTATAATTTGTATATATTTGATTATTTTAAAAAAGTAATCTCACTCAGCCAAATTTGATCAAAATACTAATTTCTATAAAGGCCTTTGCAGAATCTGACTCTATGTTAAAATACTGGCACAGGGGAAATGGGTTCATAACGATATTCAGCTTATCCTACAAGTATTTTGAGAAATCAAAACTGGGTGATTAATTTTAATTTAGCCTTGTTGATGATCAATTACCTCATAAACAGGCCCAAACACCAATAACCTAAAAGAGTAGAAAAGCTTGGGAAGTATGACCTGAAATAACCAAAAGCATCAATCAGTTTTACATGATCTCAAAAAGTTTCTATTTTTCAGTGCCAATGCTGAAGATAAAAACAAACCTGAAAAGCATACTACAGAACTAGGAAAAAGATGTCCCTTTGTACTTATAGCTTCAATAAACCATTTAGGAAGGGTACAGTGCAAACATTCAGCAGCTGTTAATGAAGGATATAATTTCCCAGTGAAGTAGTACTGCTTGGAAAATTTGTTTTGTGAGTTCTCACATTCAGCCAGTCAAAGTCAAATCTGAAGCGTCCCAGTGACAAACTGGCCTAATTATTATAATCAGTCAGGGAAGGAAGTTGACAAGTTTGTCAGTCCTTCAACTTTTTTTCATACTTTTCTTCAATAAAAGTGTGGCAGTTCTTTAAAGCTTAGCTTCCACTGCTGGGACAACACCAGTAAACTAAGTAAACCTGTTTTGCTGTACATCACACAAGCTTACTCTAAGCTCCTGTTCAGGTTACATTAAATTATATAAACTTGCTTAAGAGGAGAAGAAGTTGTTCGTTCCTGTTCCAACTTCCTCCCCTTTATAAGCAAAGCACTGCACCAAACTGAACCCGTTCGTGGCACATTTCCCCTCCTACGATGACAAGAGAGAAAAGCAGAAGCAGGAAGCTTGCCACGAGCTCTCTGCCTCAAAGGAAGACTCAAACCCCAGAATCAACCAAAAACTCCAACCAAGCAACCTCTGCTTTGAATCTGTAGGGTGCAAACCAAGGGTAAGAAGTGCATTCCATGTAGATTTAAGTCAGCAAACTCCCAGCACTCCTCAAGCTGGAGGCAGCACAAGTTTCCTGTTCCAAAACCATGGAGGGACTCCCACTACTATCAGCATGGTACTAACGCCTTCTTGTATGCAAGACTGGCAACTTCCCATGTCGTTTAACATCTGCAGGGCCCACAACTGCACTCAATTACATTCATGAAAAACATCCCACAACCTCCCCATTCCAAGTCTTACTTTCTTTTTCCCTCCTGGCAGCAATTCCTCCTCCCCTATTTTTAGTAAAACAAAAAGTGCGGGAAGAACAGTGAAATGATTTTATTCATGTCATCACAGCACCTAAAGGGATCACATCAACAACACTGTCCCACAGTAACCACAATATAAAACAAACAAACAAAAACCCTCCCACAGAGTGCCAGCCCTGAAGAAGTGTAAGTACTATAAAAGAAATTGCAGGTGAATGTAGGGGGCACAGAAGGCTCAAGGTGACAGCAATGCTGCTGGCCAAGAGGACAAGTGGTGACACAGGGCAGCAGCTGCTCAGTCATTGTCAGCCTGTGGCAGGCACTGCAGCAGGTGCCTCCAACCCTCCAGACTGAAAGGCCTCTTGTGCCACAGTAACCATTGGGAGTTTTTGTCCAACTGCTGCAGTGACAGCAACTGCCTTCAGTCTCAGCTTGTCTGCAGCCTCAATCTTACTTTCAAAGAATGTTTTAGAACATTTAGTCATTTTATTGTGGTACCCTTGATGCTCAGCATCTTGATTCTCTAGCTTAACACAGCAATGATTCAATTAAGATTACATGTGCATTGCATTTACTTCTCTTTCCTAAGAAGACTATGACATGGTACCGTTGCCTTCCCTGCAAATAATGCGAAAAAAATATCCAATTACTTCATTGATAGTCTCAGATCCGTTGTTCTAAGTTCCTTCCCTGCTTTCAATCCTGCCTGTAATTCAGTTTTTGACAACTAATGTAAAATCCAGATTCTCCTGTATCTTTTGCTATATTCCTAATCCTTAAAAGAGATGTAAAAACTTGTTTTGCTGAATTTCTCTCATAGATCTTGTTAATTGACTATCTATAGACTCTTACAAAACAAGCACATTTCTAGCTGATGAGTTTTTTCCACATTTGAAGAATGGATGCCCTTAAATATTTACCTCCTACAGCTCAGTGCAATGGCAAATTAGTATCATATAAATGTCTCTCAAGAATGTAACTTTACTTATGAATTAAAAAAATACAGGCAATCACTCCAGTATGGCTTGAAGTATGGGGAAAAAACCCCCAACAAATTCTAGGCATATTGAGCCAAAGAGAAAAAAAGCTAGAAATAAGAGCACAGGTCTATGTTCTTTTGTACACAGAAAGTTATGAACTGAAGATCAACCCTCTGTATCAATACTGTAACACCATTATGTCACACTAAGTACCCATTTCTTTCATGGCATTACCTTTGTCACATAAAACAAATTACAAAGGCTGATTTGTAATCCAGTCCACAATTAACCTAATCAATCCACAGTAAGTCTTAACTGAAATTCCCCTTTTAATTGCTCCATTATACAATTTATTGTTTCTGACAACAATTATTTTCACACTGTATTTGCCCTTCATGTAAGCAGCAGGCATAAGTAGTTACAATGAGATGCTGCTCATTAACTTGGGGAAAATACCCATGCTTGCCTTGGGCCTATATTGTGTCCCATACTTTAAAAGAAGAAATTCTCTTCATTACCATCAGCCTACCTATTCAGGTCCCCTGACCACCAGGGCCTTCCCAATTCTGTCCAATCCTCTGAAGTCCTGCAACATATCACTCTTTTCTTTGAAGTGCTAAACATTTTCTCTGCATTTAAAGTGGTCCTAATCCTACAAAGAAGTCGATTCTAGCATTATTTTGAAGCACTAGACCTTAGTAAAGAGCCAGGATACAAGCTGCCTCTCAAAAGCACAATACAATACCTGGAAAGTTTATCAAACATATTGACAAGCTTCATTGCTTCATATTCTTTTTGTTCTTCTGTCATTTCATCCATTGGATTGGGCATTGGCTCTTCTAAGTGACCAGTGATAAGGTTAATGCTGGAGGTGAAAAAACAACAGTTTACATTTCTGCAGGAATAGGTATGTTTTCTATCTTCTTAACAGCAGGAAACAGGAAGAACTCACAGAAACCATCAAGACTAAAACTGTCTGAACTGCACACAAAAGGTTTTATTATAAATAGACAAGGTTCATATTTATACCCTATTTTCTCATGAATCGTGACTGAATCTTTGTGCGGATTCACTGTATTAATGTCTTGTCAGTGCTCAAAAATGCATAGGCTGGTAGTCCTTGTTGCTGGAACACAAAGAGGAACAGTTTGAAACCAGGGGAATGACGATGGTAACAACAACAATGTCATTAGTACTAATGACATAAATAGGGAACTGGATGACAGATACATGTCTGAAATTAATTCTGTACAGGCTTGATTTTAAAAATATAGACAGGTTCCAGTTAATTTTGCATAAAATTAGTTAAGTGTTGCCCTTCCACGATGATGATTTTTTGCTCAAACCAGATTAAGTTATTTCACTTTGAGCATTTACAAAGCCAGCTTTACTTTCACCGTTAATACACATGAACAGTGATACGGAAATGGTAACAAAAGCAGAGAAGTAGTTCTAAAGAAAACTTTCAGGGCACATTATCCTTTCAAACATTTTAATCACAGATATTTAACAGCAAAACAGAAAATCAGATGCATAAATCAACTGACAGTTATCTTGAATGCTTTGTGTAAGCGTTAGCTTTTAACTAAATGGAAGTTATAGTTTTACTTATATGCATATAAGTGAATGTCAGGCTTTTGAAAGAGGAGTATAGAGGAAACAGCAAGAAAAAAAATCCTGAAGTGCAGAAATAAAAAGAAACCTCCTAGTTTAGAGTTAATTTCTTAGCATAGAAGCAACGTAACTCCTAAATCTCACACATTTAATCCTGTCCTTTGTTCATGTACCTTGACAGGAATCTTTCAATAAATCACAAGCACCCACCACGCACCTAATCATGTCTGTGTAATTCAAGGAAAACAGAGTAAAACAGAAGAATAATGTTAACACTTCAGATGTCCACTATCAACAATTTCTGGATATCTTTAAAACGGCATAAAATCCTAGACGTAACAAGACAAACTAAAACCTCTAGCACCCAATCAATTACATCTAATAAAAATCAACTGAGCTTCTACATGGTTAGTGAATTCGTCAATCAAATATATTGCATTCCTGCTGCATAACTTCTATACCAGTTATGTTGCTTCTCCCATATTTACATATGTGGCCTACTTGGTTTTTCAGGAAATTTTAGTACTGGGCAATCTGAAATTCAGTCAAAACCAAAAGTGAACTTACTGCTTTTCTCCTTTTTAACAAAGTTCTAACTAAAACCTTTAGCCATATCTGACACCATTTCTTTCTCCATTACAGAGATATACCCCACAAACTGTAGTTAGCAGCTTGGCAAACTTCATCTGAGTTCCCCAAATATCTGGTACAAAACCCATTCTTGCTAAGTTTGCTACTAAACTTTTTTCCTATCACTTCCTTAAAATTCTCTTTTCACACTTGAAATTTAAGTAGTTATTCAGATGTTAAATCATTCTCGTAGTAACTTTTTTTTTCCCCTGCATATCTGACTACATGATGGTCACTATTAGAGGCTGGTTTCTCAATAATTAGACCATGAAATCAGCAGAAGACAGGAGTTAATATAAGCAAGTTAAGTTAATATCATTCCAAAACTGGCCTCTCTGAAAAAGGTAAAAAAACCCCAAAATCCCATCAAAAGAATCCAAAATGCAACAGGATATGTGATATTGAAAACAATACCATACTTTGGCTTTGCAGATTTGTATTCTTCTGTGTCTGTATCCTCATCATCTGAGTACCAATGATCTCCTCTTCCTCCTGCTAGCAGGCCCCTGGCTGCCAGCAATCCTGCTGCGTTACCATAGCCTGTGTATTTCAACAAGCTATCAACTGCAAAGAGGATACAGAAAATTATTCAGCTGTACTCAGCTACAAAACAAACCTCAAAGAATGCTACAAGAACTGGGAGTTACAGCAAGAGGTAAATATACCAATTACAGCAAGACTTTATACAAAAGGGAGAAGAAAAAGTAATTTTTACCTCTCTCTTTACAAAGAACAAAAAGAAATTCTGCTGCAATTTGCTTTACTCCAAGGTCAACATGTGTCATAAGGCGGACGAGTTTGTTCCTCACTGTTGTGCCAACTTCAGGACGGTTTGAGACATCTCTTAATGGGGGCAGTACCTGGCAGCACACAAGAAAGGGAAGAACAGCATAAAATGCATGGAAATATCATGCAAAACAATATTTGCAAAAACAAATGTAGTCAACAGAACAAAAAAAATTACTCTGTCCTTCAAAAAGAAAAAAGGCAATAAAATCAGACAACTATGCCCACATGCATTAATAGTGACTCTTGCTTCTTATTATATTTAAGTTTTCTGGTCTGTCATTTTGGTCAGAAAAATACTGTCTCAAATGCAGACTTTAAAAATACAATTACTAGGAGTTTATGAGCACAAATGGGTGTCCCAGGAGAGTTGTCAACAGGCAGCCATAACATCATGCTCTCTGTTTCTTCTGTTTTCCTCATGTATCTTGTAAAAGTATTTTAAAAAATGCTCTGTAATTTATACAGAGCAGTTTATACAGAACAATGACGTGCTTAATGAAAAAGCACGAAAATAAGTACATTGCAAGTTATACTACTAGATTTCAAAAATGGGCTCTACATAGAGAGGAAACACATACTTCAACCACAAAACACTTTTAAAAGCTCAAGCTAAATTTTGGAAATATTTTGGAGAAATTACGATTTAACATTTCCTCAAATACACTATTTTCTCATTAGAGGTCATTAATATTGTTAACTTCAACCCTCAAGAAAGGCAGGTAGTGCATGAATGATGCAAAATATCTTGTGCCTCCTTGTGTGGATGCCTTTAGATTAATATCTGTGTACATTTTTTTCACATTCAAAGGATATACTCTATGATCTGCAAACAAATTCAGGCCATAATATGAAATATTTAATGATCTGAAGACTCGAATAAGAATTATAGATCTTCAATATTTTATTAAGGAATAAAAAAAGTGGTCACTATAATAAGAAATTCCAAGTTCTTTGTTTTCTAGGTGTCTAATGTAAAGTGTCATGTCCTGTGCAAAATTACAGCACAATTACTACTGAAATTGGACTCACTGGGAACTGATCCTTACATTAATTCTACGGTGCTGACTGCTTTGGATAAAACAGATTCTTCTTTTTCACACCAAGTATTCAAACAATTAGCAAAACCATTTTACTTTGTCCCTGCTTACTCCCCACAATGGGGATAGTACCATGACTGCCATTTCCCAGTGTGTTGTAAGAACGAATTAATGTTTTTAGAGTACTGTAATACTAATATGGTGATGAGTGCCATAGGACAGTCCATGAGGAAATCAATCATCCTGTCTTCAGATCACAATTTGAATAGCACACAATAAAAAAAGCCCAAGGCCAGAACTTAACAATGAGGATAATTCAAAATATCAAACATCCAGTCATGCAGTTAGCAACATCCATCCATTCTCTGCACTATATGAGGCAGTGGTCCTGTGGCAGGAGTCAGCATGCAATTATATCCTGACATTGAGATGCTCAGATGTCGTAAAAACATGCCGACAACTTCATTTTCTAGCTTCTGTACACTTGGCTCTGCAACTTTGTTTTATTTTAGAAGTTAACAGATCAGCAAAGTATCATAAAAACTAACTGTTGTGAAGAAAAACAAGTAACAAGAACAAGTTTCTTAAATTCCTCAAAAACACTTTTCTGGTATAGATGAAAGAGGCAGAAAATATATGCTCTTCTTCATTTTAAATTCCATTTATGAATTCAGGCACAGCTTTGATCTGGGAGCAGCATCTGGGATGCAACTCAAAAGCCACTGCAGCTCAGGAAGAGAGCAGAAACCAGAGGAGCAATTTCTTTCTTGTGCTCATCTTTTAGCTTCTTTCCACTTGACCTCAGGAAAAGCAGCAAAACAAACAGAAAACACCATACTCAACCACCAAGCTACACAGATCCTTCAGGTCTTTAACCATGGCACAGAAATCATCTTCCCTGTTAAAAGCCACAGTCCATACTGTAATAAAGAGCCCTTATAAGAGACAAAGAGATGATCTGTGCCTCTGTCCAGGGGCACGTTTAGTCTGACAGGACAGCTGATAACACACTGGTACACAAGTCTTAATCCAAACAACTCCTTCCTGCTGAAGTAAAACTAAACCTCAAGCAGAACCCATCAAAACACCTGTATTCTCACTTGCCACCACACAGCTCTGCAAAGTCTAAACTGCACTGAAATGCTTCTTATTTGCTGAATGTAAGGGAACAGACCTTACTGAATTTCTTACCCATCTCATAGGATCCACAGTGACTCACACTGACACAGCTTTACAATATCCCTGATGTTATTATTTAACAGCTTTACAAAATGTATCATGGAACTCAGGCCATAATATCTGTTGATGTACATGACTGAAAAATTATTTCTACAGCACTGTCCTGCACTGATGTACAAACCTCAAAGTTCATCACCAGCTTCAACCGCAAATTTCGATGAATTTTACTCACCTGAGCTTTGATAAACTTCCTGATATTCCGGTGAGTTCGGCAGCATTCAGTTAATAAACTAAGAACTGGAGTCAGACCTTCTCTGTAGCTGCTTCCCTAAAATAAGGCCAAACACAAATAAAACATTTTAAGAGCAAACTTTCCTTTTCAAATTCTGTGAATGCTTCAATAAAGTTTTATATGAGAACCAAAATATGAACTTTACATAAAGAACCAAATGTTCACCCTCAGACACACAGCAAAGAGCTTCAGATATTCACAGGAATTTGGAGGTGTTTCACAGCTTAGTTGGACAACCATATTTGTGCTAAGTACTGGCTGAAAGGTTTATACAGAACTTGATATAAGTGCACTTTTTGCCTTAGTGAAAGAGGTTCCTTTTGTGAAAAATCTCTGCAGTCCATACCTTATCTATTCTCTTCTCCATGAAATCCAGTAAAATCTGAATAGCTTCCATATTCATACCATTGTATTTTATATCTGTTTCCTCTTGGGACGATGGATTAATAAGAACATCCAAGCAAGAAACAGGAACATTGCTTAAGAGGTTGATTGCATTGCTGAAACAGATTTTAAAAATTCATTATTCATTTGAAAGAAACAATTAAAAACAGAGTACAACTCACCATAAACTGATTGTACAACTGCAATCAAAAAGAGGCCCTACAATTCAAACAATGCTTTATTTTCTCCTCTCTGGGTTTTAAAGAAGGTGGCCTGCATTATCGCCTGGGTTCTGGCTCTTGGAACAAACAAGGAAAAAGAAAGACAAAAAGTTCCAAAAGCAGCAGTGCAGGATTACTTCCAGGCCCCACAGTGTCTCATCCCATGGATAAGGCACAGCTTCCAGCAGCAAGCTACAGCAGCTGATCTTGCAGGACAGCAGGGGGAACTCTCACATTGATCTGCAGTAGTCAGAGTTTTCTTCCTCCTTGAAACTTCAAACATTTTACCATACATCCATATTAACAACATTAGTATGGCAAAATACAATATGGACAACATTTCCTCCTGCTGTAACAGGGGGGCAAAGCGGCCTTTTCTTAGGTCCCCTGAAATATTTTCATTTTTATTTAGCTTGCAGTATTTATGAAACACAGAAGGCTTTTAACACATTAAAAAAAGACTCAGGTTTATGTATCAAGCACTACCCTTCAGTAACTGGCAGTGTTCTCAACCTAGGACACAAAGAGGAGCATTTCCAAAGAGCCATTAAATTATTTCAATTAGGTCACAGGGTCCCTCCCTCCTCTTCAATGGAGTAAGGTGGGACTTACTTTGCAAGGATCTCTTGCAGGGTACACATGCCTTGAGTTTGCTATCTACCCTGCTCTCACTGTACAGACTTGGGCTTGGACTGTTCCTGAACACTGGGAGAAATTACGCAGATGCTGCAAAAATTAGAATTCCGTCATTATTTACTTGCTGATGTCCAACTAAACTTAAAAATGGAGGTATTTAGAAATAGCACAAAACTATTCAAGTTTACCCATGCAGACCTCAAAGCTATCAATGAACCAATGAGCACTCATGTTTCAAGGACTGGTGAAGTGCTCCAAGAATGGAGAAATCTTTTCAAACAACTTCATTTAAGACTTTTAATAATATCTACTTAGAAGCTCCCTCTGTTTCTAAGTTATTAATACAATCCTAACAAAGAATTAGCAAAAGAGAAAGCAAACCATGGCCATCTGACTATAACAGGATTTCTAACAAAATTGCTAGTTCTGGTTTGATCAGACTGGGTGGCTGTTCCACACTGTGCCATCTCCTTTTTGCTCCTTTAGTAATTGAAATTCAGACCACTATTACTTTTGGGAACGCCCGTTCTCTTTATTTTGTTTCTAAATCCTGCTCAAGATATGCCTTTTATATCACAGAAGTTATTCCTCTCCAATAATTCAGGAATTGTGAGAAACAAAACAGAAGAAATTCAACAAATATTTGATGGCTTCAGGCCTTTCATCAAAAGTTCTCTTTTTACCAGTTTTTTATTAAACAACCAAGTTCCCAAACACCTACAAAATTAATTTTCTGGATCACTGTGCCTGAGCTATTCTTTTCAATAAATGAAGCCCAGCTTTCTGATCTTTGTCCCTCCACTGACAGTTTTATTTGTGGCAGAGGAGTGTATGAAATTCTCCAGCTACCAGGAAGTCAGTGACTGTGCACAGATATGCACAATAGTGTTTGCATTCCTACTCCAGGGGGTAGAAATACTGCGTATATTACTCTCCCCTTTTTGGCTTCCTACAGATCATTAATCACTGGGACATGACATCCACCCACTCATGCTCCCAGCCCCCTCCTGATATGCAAATTCAGAAGCAAAGGCCTATTTAGAGCCAGTGAATGCCTTGATTAAAACCTTGTTAGTGGGCAAAAATGACACTCACTCTAACATGTGGTACTTTAAGTTGTTCATATTCAAACACTAAGCAATGCCGCAACAGAACCACAAGGACAATGCTGGGTACTAAAGTAGTTAAGATATTTTATGGCTAACTTCTGCTTTTTTATTAGAAATAGTCACACTGACAATCAGTACATCGCGGCTCAGGGCATGTGTCCAACACTCACTGTTCACCTAAAATAAATCCTCAACTTACACATTCAAAGCACAGCCATTCAAACTATGTGCTATAACAGGCTGCCAAAACGTTTCACTGAAGCATCTTAGGTTCTGCAGATTTATAAACTTGGGGAAGTGTAAGTAATCAGCAGTCTTAAGAAATACTTTTTTATCTCCTCAATGCTTCATACAGTTTATACAGCATTCACAACTGTTTGTATTTCATTTTATTTTTAACAGTTTTCATAATTGCCTTAGAGATAGGCTCCATGAGGAAAGCAGAGCTGCAAGTTGTGCTCTGCTCTCTCACACCTCATCTCTAGCAATAAAGATTGCACGGTCAGAGTCCAGCACGCTGAATGGCCCAAATGATGGCACAGACCTCTCTCTTTTAGCTACATACTGCTAATAACAGCTTACTCATTTCTTAGTGTGGCTCCTAGCAGGAATTGAGTTTGTCTGAATAGATCAGTGGACTGCAGTTGGGCCCTTTGATGAAGGCCTCAATCCATTTGAGGATTTGCAGGGGTGTTACTTCTGAGTATAGCTTTTCTATTCCAGAGCTCTGATGAACAGTCTTGGTGGAAGGGTGTATTCAATTGTTCTTTTATTGCATCCTTGCAGCATTCAAAGACACATCTCAGGTTCAGCAAAAAGGCTGAAAGATTTGAATCGCAGCAGTCAAATCCTGCACGGTGCTCTTGCAGCACGTAAATCAAGATCAAACACCACAAGCAATGATGCTATACTTGCATTCTTTACTCTTCAGCTAACAACCAGCTACAGTTTGCTAACTGAGGGACAAAGCTGTTTTCTCAGCATAGCAGAAAGACTAATGCAGTGCTACACTGAGTCTCTGCTGGAGAAGGGGGAACAGCTGCCTTGATACAAGGCAGTGATGTGTCCTCATTTATTTTGTGCTTCCCCCCTTCAGAATTATGGAGAACCTTTGCTTTGACTTGGTGTCTCCATAAGGCCCATGTGGGCAGCACTGCTACAAAAAATCTCCCTTGACACTGAAAAAACAAGGACAGAAATCACACCAACATCATCTTCACAGCTGCCTGCTTCTTTATGTAAAGCCCTTTCTGGATCTCAGCTGCAAGCGTGTGCAAAATCTAAAACCAAAAGGACCTGCATAACTTGCATCCTTTTGCAATAGCACATGACAATTAAATTTTACAGGGCAATAGATTTAACAGTGTGATCAGACTAGTCAGATTTCTGGACAAGGGAACAGATCTTGGGAAGAGCATCAGCTGTATAATAGTTCTTCTAACTCCCTCACAATTGTTGATTTTATCTAAATCTTTTAAATTCTTCCAGCAGCAGGGATTTTATTCCTGCCAGTCCCTCCCTTAAAGGAGGCTGAGAGCACAAAGCACCCACCATAAGCAGCAGCAAAGAGAAAACACTAACTGTCCTTCAGGACACAGCACCAACTTCAGTCATAGCAACTACTGCAGCAGCATCCTAAATTATTCCAAACTAGTCTGCACCAACTGAGAAGGGCTCTCTTGTAGGATTTTAGTGTTGACCTCCTAAGACTGTTGATCTCTAAGAGCTTTCCAAGACTTTAATCAAGGTCATTTAACACTTTCAAGATTGCTGGGTATGAAAAGCTGTATCCTTCTTCCTAGAGACTGGCTCAGCAGACCTTCTAAAGATCCTACAGTCAGATATGCAGACATTTCTGAAGAAGAAAATGGCAACATTTCAGTGCTGAGGGAAGCTACTGTACTGTCAGGCCCAGTGAACAGCTGACCTACTTGGTAAAAATAAGGGTGTCATAGAGAAAGAACAGTAACACTAAACAAGACCCACCACCTCACCACAAATAATCTGAATTTTGATTGAATTATTGGCTGCCAATACATAACAGTTGGGTGCAGGACTGAGGAAAAAAAAAAAAACAACAAACCACACACCAAAAACTGTGTGATTCACTCATCTTTGAAAAAAAAATATTATTACCAAGGAAAATTATTGGTACTTCCAATAAAGCAGCACAGAACTATTGGGATAAAATATCAACTTGTTACTTCCACCCCAATCCATCAGAATTGCAAAGCTTACATATAGAAATCTCAAAACGTAGTGTTTCCATTAGTTTCTGTGCAAAACAACAGAAGTTGCATTCCACTTCAATTTTAACTACACTTACAACTTTCATATGTATTTTCATCCTCAGATACACACACGTGAACATAAAACCAAAATTTAAAAAAGGTGAGTTTCGTTATCAGTGACAGAAGATAACAATCCTGCCAGCCACCTTCTCTCTGGAAAACTGGATGTGCTTGAACAGTGTTTGAGGAAAACAGCTTTCATCAAAAAAAGATTAACAGTATTACCTGAAAATAAATGAAGTTTTCATTGTTTCTCAGATTTCTACTTTAGATTTTAGGCAAAGTAATTTCTATTTAGAAAAACCAACCAAATAAAAACCTTTTAACATAGATTAGTTCTGCAATTCTACCAACCTGTGCAACTCTTCAGTTTTTTCTTCGGTAGGGCCCGTGGTTAATAAGCAGTGTCGAAGGATGGCAGCCATGTAACGAAATTGATGAGATTCATTCTATATAAATATAAATTATGAAGATATTTTTTCATTTTGAAGATTGCAAGTAAGGCTTTCAGGTCACTAGAATAATAAAAGTTAAAGATGGAAAATACCTATTAGATCATAACATCCATCCCTATCAATAAAAGGACTCTACCTTTGTTTCACTGAATGCTTAATGCTACATAACTCTCATAAGCTTTTTCAAAAGTCAGGCCTTGTAAAACTCACGGAGGTTTTTCCAGTTAAACCAGCCTTCATTAGTAGAAAACCCAGTTACAAGTGTTTGCTCAATTCCATACCACTATTCCTAATACACCAGTCTCTTTACTTCCTGTATTTACACCAGACCACCTCTTCATCCATTCAGATTATGCATGTTCTTCACTTAATTTGTCCTCTCCTCATTTAGGCCTTTTGCCAAGTTTCATTCCCTCCACCTAGTCTGTCTCTTTTTTCTAATTCCCTTGATTCTTTTCCTCCATTCCATTAATAACTTCTCAGCAACCTTACTTGCCCTACCTTTTCCTCTCTCCAAGCAATCCCCCCTTTCCAATCTCCCACCAGACAGCAGCCATGCAATAGTACACCAGTAACTGCAACCATTTAACTCTGTATCATTGTCCTCACCCTTTTTCAACAGCTCTTCTTGGCATCTGTGTATGTTCTGGAGTGTTTGACCTGGCACAAAGCACCCAATGCATCTTTTGAAGGATCAGCATCAAAATCTGCCAACTGTACCATGTGCAGATCTTGTCTGGCCTTGCTACTTTGAAACCATCTCCAGTCATTAAATACTGGTGTTTCAAATGGTTCTCTCCACATTAGGATAGATCTTGTTTAGCTTTCACCCACATGCCCAACGTCTCTGCTCTCCTTTTATTTTCTATGTGTTCTGCTGTTTGGAATTTCTTCAAATTCTGCATCTTCAGCCCACTTCATTAGCAAGCCTTTCACTCCTCTCCCAGATCATTAATACTACCACTGGAATATTCACTAAGCAGAATGTCACCTAACATATCTGGCTAACAGCCACTAAAAAGTTCTTTAATTTAAAAGTCCTCCGCTTTTAGGAATTTCTAGTAAAGAGTTATTATCTAAGCTTTATCCCAAAATGCAAATAAGCTTCTCATTTAAAAAAAAAAAAAGCTACATGCATTCTTGGGATATTAAGGAGGAAAAGACAGTGAGCTGGGCTTTACATCTCTCCAGATTCAGTATGTTTTAAGAGTAAACCAACTTCCAGGGATCATGAGTTTATCTCTCAAGAGGTGAACAGTTTCTTTTCCAACTTTCCATATAACTGTGTTACATGCTTTTTTACCTCCTGAACAATCACCTGTCTATACGAAGAACTTTGACAAAGTTAAAGATACTTTTAATAAGGGTCTAAGTTGGGAATATAAACAGAAGAAAGAAACCTCACTTTCTTTATATTTCCTTGAAACTCAAATAGTAGCTTCTCTGATCCCTCCATAACTAAATCTTAAATTTCAGGATTTCTTATTCAGCATACCCTTGAGACATTAAAGCAAAGAATAAACTTCCAACTTTGCTCAAGTTTTACATTCCTTAAAGTTATAATTAATATCTGATTTGCTGTTTAGTCCAATGCACTAAAAAGAACAATTATTTGCAAGTTTTAACTAATGTAGAATTTTGATCAGCTTTATATGCTACATATTTACCATGTCCAATGGAAAGTACATAACACTGAGCTATGATGTAGACTAAAAAGAAAGATTCCCTATATAATTCTCTTGTTTTAGCACAGACTCAGGTTATTCAGAAAAGTTGCCCTTGTAATTTCTGTTTATAACACACAGGAAGCATATCTATCTAAGGAAAAAAAAAGATCTGACATAACAACGAAAACAAACCAAGATAAACCTTATTCATAAGGCGTAACAATCAAAGTGTATCTTGTTCTTGTACTTGATCCCACCTTTAAAAGATAATTATGAAGTCCAAAGCTGGTGTTGGGAGGATGGGACAAAGATATTAACAACAGTAGCACTCTGTCATCAGAGTTATTTGTTAAAAATGAGAGTTGATGTACTTATCATGCAACAGAGAAGTTCCCTCAGCTCTATCTATTGCCCTTTTGCCATAGTCCACAAGCTCCAAAGATGCAGCCATCTGGTACACTTAGATAAAGAAGTTTTTCCTAGCCAGCTAATTATTAGTGAACAACATTTATTTTCTTTTGGAAATCTAAGACTTTTATGAAATGGTATTTTTTGCATTTTTGTATCTGAAAACATACAGTTTAAACTTGCATTAGGCAAGCCAAGCAGTTCTCCCAATACACAGAAAATGCATGAATAAGATTTTCTGCCCAAGTTGTAGCAGGAACAACAACTGCCGCCTGTGTATCTACCTGTTGGTTCCTGCAGGCTAAACAAAATCAACCGAACAAAGCACTTCAGCTAAGCCTTACCTTGCTGTGGACATTCCAGCTGTCAAGTGTTACATTAAATAGAGCCTTTAGTGCCTCAATGGCACAATCTGTCTCTTGCAAAGATAGAGGAAGCCTGTCACGATCTTCTGCTGCCTTATACTCTTCTGTCCATCTTACACTCAGGGAACTCTCCAAAGCCTGAGTCAAAACCTGCACCCCTTGTAGCTCCTGACGCAGCTGTGCTCTAATATCTGTGTGCAGAAGCGACAAGAGGAAGAGGAGACGCAAATCAAAGCATTTAATGTCATCAACAAGCTGCCGGTCCTTACATTTCTGCAGAAGATTGCAGAGCATTGCTGCAAGATTCAGTTCCAAACTGAGCTTCTGTGCAACTGAACTATTAAAAATTATGTTACAGAGGCATTTTAAGGCTTCTACTATCACAGGAAATTCAGATACTCTCTCCAGTGGATCTTCCACAGTGTCCAGCTTTGCTAGCTTCATAAGGATCTGCATGTTCCTCTTTGTGGTTACAGGCACTAAAACCTTCTTATCCCGGGAGAGAATCCGGAGGGCCTCCAGACAGGCAACTTGACATGAAGTCTTTGTGTCTTTTTCAAGGATGTTTAGAATTCCTTCACACAGTTTCTAGGCAAACACAAAGAAAAAGGGGACAGTTTTAGTGTCAAAATACTGGTGGCAATAAGAAACTACTTTGCTAAGCTTCCATATAACTTTTGACGTTTTATCTCACTTGAGAAACTAGGTAGTCGATATTAGCACTTCAAAATATGTACTGTTACCAAAGGCCTCCAGAAAGCATTAAAAGCAGTTTTCCTCATGGACACAATCCAAATACATCAACATTTGCAGAAGCATTAAGCCAAAATGGCAGCTATTACCCACCACTGCCAGTTACAGTATCAGGACTAAAAACTCCAGAATAACAACAAAGCTAGAGAGAAGTGAAAGCAAAAATATGTCAAAGTACAACAGTCACACCTACGGCACCTGCAGAATTATTAAGTCAAGGTTGTTTCAGTCAGGAGGCTGGGAGAAAAAGAAACCAAAATAACTGCTACTTAACATACAAGGATTAGTACTCCCATGTTTGGTAAGAGCAGTAATTTATGTGACCTCTTCAACCTAATCCACAGACTTCTCCCATTTTAAGTATGACTCTAAGAAATAACACCTCTGACACAGAAACACAATGCAGTTTTCCTTGAAGGCAGACTGGAGCAGTTCTACCAAAGCAGCTTTATCAACACAGATTATTCTTGATGTCAAAATAGTTCACAGATTCCTTATACCAACAGGACTTCAGGGGTAAATAATCACATAAATGCAGCATGGGAAAATACAACACTCCAACAATCTGCAGGTCAGAACTGTAACATCCGAATTACAGAAGCATTACCTTTTATAAGACAGAAATGGACAATCAATCAATCAAAGGGGAGAAAAGAGAGGCCAGAAGAGATTGCTTGTTGTGAGAGGACTCCAGTGGGATTTTATGCCTTACGCTCAAGACAACACAACTACTCATGGGTACTAGTGTCAGAAGTATAGTCACAAAGAAATTCCCAATACAGCAGAAACTGCACTGTACCTGGTTTTGAGGAATAACACACAACTGAACACACAGTTCACAGAACTCCAGAAAAATCCTAGTTTATTCTGTGTTTAAGCACTTTTCAACTAGACTTCGCAGTTATTGTCTTCCTTGTTGGTAACAGCTGCTACAAGGTGGTCTGTAACAATTTATCCAAATTCTGAAACTTATTTGATTGCATAAAGACCAAGCTGCTCAAATTCGGACTTAATTTTTTTCCCCATAAGTTTTACCCACCTGCTGTTATGAAAGTGTCACTGGAAAATGTCAAAAGCACTGCAGGAGGGATGCCAAAGGGCAATAACCTCCTGCTGACCTGCTGCGAGAGGTGGAAGTCTAACCTTCCCTCCATACAGTAAATGACATGCAATTTAATTAAAAATATAAAATCATCTCTTGGCTTCAAATCATAGTGAAATGCAGCACCAGAAGAGTCTTAACTCTGAATAGTTGTACTAAAGATAGATATAAAATAGAACTTTTTTTTTTTTAAGAGATTTAGCAACCTGATTACAACTTAACTGCTGGTAAAGTTCTCTGGAGTTAAGATCCAGTCAGCCATCAAGAGTGATTTTAGAGGAAGCAGCAATCAGGGCATCTGTGACAGTGAACCACTGTTGGCTAATCCCAAGAGCCATCAGCAGCTCAGGAAAAGCTAGAGTATCTGATTATAATTGCAGAGCTATCCATGGAAAGATTCACCCTATTAGGAAATTGCCTTGGAGACAATTAAAACCAAATGCCATACAGCACATTTTCTGTTTTGGCCTTGATGGTACAAGATGCACAGAGATAAGAGAAATAGGAAGAGATGTGACCACAACAACATTATCATGCTTTTCATTTTCTCTAGGTGGTGCTCTTTCTACCACCCTGTAGACCATTAGCATGGCATAAGCTAAGGGGCACAGATTTCATTTATGTGGTTGGAAATGAAAGCAAGTGAAAATTCAGACAGGAAGGAACCTCCCCCTCTCACAACACATATGATGACTGTTTCAGTTTCAGGGCCTTTGTTTGCAACTCTTTAGGTCACTGCAAGATTTTCACATTTCTTTGTTTGGTGTCCTATCCTTTCAACATCCAGATAATATTTTGACTTTCATCAATCATGCTACAGCAAGCAATGTTTTTCATACATTTTTTCAAAAACTCCAGTTTTAACATTTTTTTATTGTAAAATCCATTCATTTCTCTGAAATTCAAGATGTCTCAGCTTTTGTGCTAATATTAACACAGAACAATGCACACCATTCCTTTTGTCTAGGCTGTAGTATTAAATCTTGTATCAGAACAGGAAGGCCAGAAAAACCCATTCGTCATCTTGTTTTGACAAATAAACTATTAACCTATTTTGGTCCTTTATCTTGACAGTGTAAAGCCACGATGCTAAGAAGCAAAACAGCCCAGTAGAAAAAGATCTCTAGAAAAAGACACGAGATGTGTGTTTTCTCCCTTGCTCAGCCACAAGCCTGCTTTGTGACTTTGGGCCAAATACTTCCATTATCTTCCACTATCTTTGTTCACAGGCTGATTAGGCTGGGGTGAGGGGAGGGGATGGAAAGGAGAGCACAACTCTTCAGTTTCTGTGTTTTAATGTCTATTAACGATTCCGAGCAAAGCATCCATGACAATGAGAAAGTAAGCCCAAGAATATTTGAAATATTACTTACAACTTTCATTTCTCTGCAAGTCAAGACAACATTTATACAACACATATCATCAACTGTGCTGATTAACAGGACAATTAGATAACCTCCCCTGAGAAGACTGTGCCAAACTTTTGCCTAGTCTTTGTGGACAGATGTGGGTGGGAAGGTGTATACTTGCATTCCTTGAGGATTCAGCCTGCTTTATTTCGAGCACTTCATTGTTGAGCCTGCACTGACAGTGGGAAGCTGGCTGTTTGGCAGGAGCCTGCCAGCTCTGACATGGCACAGAGCCAAGCTGAAGGTTTGAACACATGAGAGCAGGACAGTTCTGCAGGTGAGGTAAGGAGCACACTGAGCAATCCCTGTTGTCAGAACTGGTGGATTAAACACTTGCTTCAGAGTCACAGAAAGGTTAAATCCTGTGTAGCTGCACTCACAGCAGCCCCTGCTCACCTCACGGGACAGGGAGAGGGAGAACCCTTTTATCTTCTGTAAGCCCATGGTGAAAGGATGTTAAAAGGAGAGATGGGTTTCATGAACCTTAAGAGGTTTCAGTAAAAGCTAAAAAATGCTGGATGGGAATGGGCAGGACCAGAGGGAATTAGAACAAATGCTCAGTATTAATGCTGGATACTTAGTGCTTTTTCCTCTTACAGACTGGTACTCCCTTAAGGGGTTTTGGAGAAGTCAGAACAGTAACAACAGCAACTAAAATACCACACAGTGTGCCCACAGGAGAACTTGAGCTTAATATTGTTACAGGACACTCACTAACCGACTTTAAAAGCTTACCCCATATTTACTGGGAGGAGAAAAACTGTGCCTTGGTGGCTGCAGGAACCTTCAGACCTCCCTGAAACATCATAGCATCAACAGCACTAACTTAAGAATGAGGTTCTTCTAAGATTTAGAGTGTGACAGCATCTTGCTCCATCAACATACTTCACTCCTTCCAGAGTTAAAACATGGTACTGTACAGAGACTAAGAGAATTTCCCCACATCATTAATTTAACTGGTAGAGAAATCCCCACATACATTTGGTATGATTTACCACCAGCTATTTTAAGACCTTGAAAACACTCAGTGATGCAAAGGGAAAACACTGTTTTGGGTGATTTTCTTCCCATTGAATTTTAAATCCATCATGTTCAAATCAAACCCAGACAATAACTCAAGAACACTGATCTCAAATTCTGAAGATTTCTTTTAAGAGACCCAACACAGTAAGCTGGACCTAACAGAGCAGAAACCTGATGCTGCAAGTACTATAAGAGGTGAAGCAGACAGAAAGGTATGGGCTGAAGAGGAAATAGTTCAGTCATATCAGGTAAGAATATGGCTTGTAAGTCATATTCTTATATTTGGCTACTGCTTCCCTTTTTTCCCCTTCCTCTTGCAAACTCAGTGCCTTCATCCAAATTAAAAAGCCCTACTTGCCATCTTGGACAGATTTACTTCATCTGTTATATCACAGCAAATGGTGCCATGACAACTTCCAGCTGTGGAAGGCTATGACCAGCCAGGCAATCAGTGCTGAGATATTTCCAGGGCACAAACAGTACTGTAATTTTCTTACCATCTAAAGTCTGTAAACAGCACAAATGTGTTGCTACTTCAGAAGCAGTATTTGGCTCCAACAAAGTATAAATAATGGAGGGCAAGGCTATTAAATAAAGATCAAGTGGTCCAAAAAACCCTTTCCTTTTTGTATTAGCATGTGAGCTTGAGCTGAAGCACGTTCTCTGCCAGAGAGAGGGAGACACTACACCTGACAACTTTCTCCAAGGTGACTGCCTGGTCAAGTTAATAGATATCCCTTTTCTGGAGTGGATTCCAGAGCAGACCAACTGTTTGTCTCAACCATGCCACAGTGCTGTGAAGTGTTGCAGTTCTGGACACTCAACTTTTTCCAGCAGAACACTGTCAAAAACTTCTTGACTGCTTGAGACAAATATTTCAGATTTCTAAGCGCTCAATAAACTCCTCAGAAACAACACCACTGCCTTTATTTCAGCTGCTATTCCAGAACACATTTACTTCTGGTTTGCAATTTCTATACTGTTTACACAAAGAAACTGAAAACAGGCTTCCATAAATTCTTATTTTTTATTAGCGTATAACAAGTTAAGAAGGATTGGCACTGACTTGATGTGCCTGGTATCTGAGTGTATCTTAGAGTACAACACAGATTGCCATCTGATTTATATCCAGAACACTCACCACAGATAGGCCAAGGCAGACACATATATCATTAAACAACCAGGACAAATACAAGGACAGCTCACATTACAATCTTGAGTTTTTATCACCCTGAGATGTATTACAGTCCTGTGGCTATGTTCAGATAGACAAACTTGATAGCATTACCTCCCTTCCTATCTTCTGGAGGACACAACCTACTTTTCTCCTGGAATTCATTATCACAAACTCACTGCTGATTTAGTTAGGTTACAGCCTAAAACAATCATGCTTTGGTAGTCATATATCACTGCAGAACAATTTACTCAGTCCAATTAACCAGCTTCTAGTCAAGCCATAGTTTTGGCCTTTCTATCTTTTCTATTTTCAGCATGTCACTGGTGTGTATGGGTTGCTTAAAAAAAAATCCTCATACTGTGTAACTTACATTCACCTCTCCAAACTCATTGTCTTTATTTGGCTTTTGCCAATTTGGCCTCTGCTCTCTTGTCCTTTCCTGTGTTCTGCAGCTGGCAATCAATTTTTCAGACTAGACATTCACTCAAGCACAGTGTAAAAAGGGATGGGAGGGACGGTGAGGGAACAGAGGTATGCACCAAGTCCAGATCCCAGGTGAGTTCTTCTACAGATCAGAAGGGACACACAGAGTGCATCACCACATCACTGAGTGTCAGCTTCCAGCAAAGCCATAGATAAAGCAAAGCTAAGAGGTCTTTGAGTTCTCTGTGTAACAAGGAATTGCAACTGAAGATTACAGTACAAACAACTGATGGGTTTGCAAATGCAAAAGACTGGCAGACTTATCATCCCATCCATTTCTACCAGAAAAAAGAAAAAAATAACACCTTAAAATATTTAGATTTAGCATAAGATCATGGAATGAAACAATGTGTGCCCAATTTCAGACAAGCTATCCTTGTAGGAATCTTGCAATTCTGATTTCAAGCTTTGAGTTTATTCCAGAAATAGCAGAAAGATACAGCCTCATTCACTAATGAACGTTTTCTGAATAAATATGCAAATCAGCCTCAAAGCTAATTACACAACAGAAAGAAAGGGCTTTGTACTACATCTTACACCCTAAAAATAACAACAGGAAAAAAAAAATTCCATGTCCAAGCTTTAAATGCAAGGCTGTGAATGGATCCCAAGGGATGTGCTAAGCTCTCCCACACCTGGACAGCTCAATTCACATTTCCCAGCTTTGACACCTGATGCATGTACCACATCTCACTGATTACAGCACCTTTGGAACAACAGGCTTCTGCAACCCTGTCTTCCTTATAGCTTAATAGTTTTCTTCTTTACTTATCCCTTCATCTTAATCCCTAGTGTTCTTTAAGCATCTCACATAGACAAGAAATACATCTGCCATATTGTTACCTGCTGAGAAGAGAGAAAATTGAAAAATCTACAGCAAAATTTTACCTCAGTAGATATAGAAGAGTATCTTTACATTTATTCTTCCACCTCATCTCAAATCCGTACCCAGCAAAATCATTTATAGGCTTTTCTGTAACTACTTTCATTCAACACTGGGAGCTTTGCTAGGGGAATTTCAGAGAAAAAAGGGAATGTGTAGTTGTCATGTCTCTTGGACTGAAGAAGCAACAATTAAATTATAACTTTATACTCACTGCTTGCACCATTTCACAATGGCATCTAAGTTGAGAGACTGCCTTCACTCTTAACTTCTTCACTGAGGTATGCAGCTCTACAGCCTATTTTACTCACCTTTCTTTTGTCTTCATCTGCAGGGTCAAACCTGAAAGTGGCCCGATTCTGTAAGCAAAGACAACAGTTTGTGTTTGTTACAGGCACAGCAGCTGCAGAGGATGTAATACCTGCAAAACCATTCAAAACTCCAGGGCTCTGGTTAAACTAAGCCTCAGATAATGAGGCTACAACCATGACCTCCTCTTCCCATCGTCCCTAACAGCAAAAGCATCGCTAAGTGCCTCCAATGAAGAGTTTCACAATTACTACTGGTGCAGAGCAAGGTTTTATCTGTGGGATGTGAGTCAACTACCTCACACATGGCACTTAACAGGGTGAAAAATGAGAGAGATTGCCTTGTGTTCCACACATACCTCATTACCCAGATTCTTCCCCAAAGAGATCTTGCTTACAAGCTTTTGACTGCTCTGAGTGTTCCAAACCAGAACCACCATGGCATCACCTTGCCCAGAAAACAAGTACTACAAATCAAATAAGCCTTGCTACAAAAACTGCGAGTTTCTGTGTTCTGGCAGCTTCCAAAACACCTTACCAAGGTATTTGAAGGTATTTGTTTCTCTGGTACAGTTAAACAAAAGGTAGACATGGTCTAACTACAAGTCCTTATTTTTTATTAAACACTTCAAATAGCAGTCGGGCCTAGTTCCATGTTAGCACCCCAAAGAATGCTATTAGGGAAATATTACTCATCAAAGAAAACAGCACCAATACCGGACATTTCTCTTAACATTTTAAAACTTCCAATGTAAATGATCAAGCATGATTAACAGCTTCCAAAAAATTAAAATATCAATTTCTACATCTAACATGCAACTTGCTACATCATGCAAGCGACTGAAAACAAAAGTGACTTTCCATAGCACATTCATGGGCCTTCTTACCTTTCATGACCCAAGCTCACAATTACACAGAAAGGTCACCAACATCAATTAGAGCCTTGAGGATGTTAGGAAAATCATTCTTCTCCTCTCTCAATAATAGGCAAATAATCCCCTTCCTCTCTCTTACAGAGCTCCCAACTAGACAACAGGAGTTCAGCAACATGCTGAACTCAAAGACAGGTGAGCACTGAATGATGAGCAATCAACCAAGAGAATGCAACCTTTATGTTTGCATGTGAACATTTCAGCAAGTTTACAAAAGCAATGTAGTGAGAACAAGCCTAAGCAGTAAAGCAACAGAGATTTGGAATAATCACTGCAAATAGGAGAGCACAGAGAAGCATCAACAGACATATTAATTTCTCTCATCATGGTTATTCTATGGGCACTTGCACTTTGGAACTACACTTGATCCATCCTTTCTTTTCAATTAAAGCATATTTAATTTGTTATTTGGAAAAAAAAACAACTAGGGAAACCTAAAGCCCTGGAACCTGGAGTACTCTGCCCAGTCTTTGCTGGCCCATAGACAAAGTGTCAGTAACAAAGTGTACAAAACAAAGAGATGAAGGAAATACGATTAAAAAGTCTAAACAAGAAACGCAGTAAGGGCAATGTCATACTGAGACAGCATTAAAGTTTCTCACCCACTCCAAAAGAAGTATTTAGCTACACACTTAACTCCAGGACTTCATGCAAATACTTGAAATGTCAGAACACAAGGTGCATGAGCTCTCAACTCTGTCCTTGATGATTCAACTCAAGCCTAAACAATTCACCTGGGAAAGCTGCTGAGAAGGCATAAAGTCCAGTGCAGAAAAATTAAGAAACCATGCTTGTGCTTCCTTTCTGACAGAACACATTTAACACGGGGTCACTTTGAGGAGTAAGGACAGAAACAAAAGGTTCCTTCAATCAGAATCCTTCCTCTGTACCTCAGAAGTCAGTAAGTTAAAACAGATGTGTCCATCAACTCCTGATCTACCAATCCTTCAGAGTGCCCTCCAGCTGCATCAATCTCTACCTTTGAATTTCACCCAGACAAAGGCAGCCTATGTCAAGACTCAAGGTTCTTCTACAAGCCCGAGTGAAGAAATCAGTTACTGCCATTGTTAGGTGTAAAATATGTTGCACTTAAGATAGCAAATTTCAAGACACCTCTCAGAGGATGAATACCCACACCACATCCATGTTCATTTGGCTTCTCCACTAATCACAAAGCGATTTAATGAAACTTTAAAGATCTGAATGTTCGTTCCTGAAACAGATTCCTAAATTTCAGTCAATAATTAGTTCAACATGACTGCATATAAATTACAGCCAAAGCCAAACCCTGAGTCACCACCAGCTTTAGAGACTTGTGTACCACTCACACAAGCACATGTACAAAGGACAGCCACCTGATGGGTTGAGACATAATCTTTCAGAATGGACTGCGCTGCTCTACTACAATCTAAGTGTCAAAATGCCCCTATCAGAAGGGGGGGGGGGGGTGCTAATAAAAGTTTAACCCAACATGTATTTTCACTCTGATTTTCACCTCCCTATATCAACAGGAACCACCTTCACTTCTTGTCTGAACATACCCATACCAGACTACAAAAGCAGCAGACCCTTACTACTTGTTCATATCTGCCAGCATTAAAAGCTCAACCTGCTCTAAGCTGTCTCCCCCTTTCGCTTTGCTTGGCCAGAAACATGGAAAAATGAAGGGGGGTCTGTCAGCCCATTTCACACACATCCCCCGCACACTGACACGGCCGCTGTCCAGGCGATGGAAAGCGCTCTCCGTTCCCGGTGACAAAGGGCTGCCCCCAAAGGGCAGCACCTCAGGCAGGTGGGCAGGTACCGAGAGACCTCAGTGTTCTTCTGTCCGGCCCTTGCCTAGCGGCGTACGCGGGTTAAAAGACTTGTGACGCAAATGAACGCTATCGAACAGCTCCTTTTACAGCCGATCACCGATAACCCACACTATACCCACTGGGCGCGCAGAACGCAAGAGCGAACGTGCCGGGGCCCGAGCCCGGCAATGGGCTTTGTGCTCCCCTGCCTGCTTTCCTCCAGCCACTGCCCCGGCTCTCCGCCCCAGCAGCGCCGCGGGGCCCGGCACGGCCTGCGAGCGGGGAGCGCACGGGAAGGGCGGGAAGCTGCGCCGGGCAGGGGCTGCGAGGGGCGGGGGCCATGGCGGTGGAGCGGCGAGCGCTGGGGACCCGCTGCAGAGCCTAGCCCGGGGGGTCCAGAACGATGCTGGCGGCTCTGCCGATGGCGGGCGGGGCGGGGCGGCGACAGCGCCGGGGGAGCGGCGCAGAGGGGAGGGGGATGGAACCCGTTACCTCCTCGTTGTACCACGCCAGGACGCGCTCCACCGCCTCGGCGCCACCGCCGCCGCGCCCCTCCACGGCCTCCAGCACCGCGCCCAGTTCCGGGCCCGGCTCCGGGCCCGGCTCGGCGCCCCGCTCCATGCCCGACCGTTCCGTCCCGTCCCGTCCCGTCCCGTCCGGCGCCGCCGGCAGCGGCCGCGCCCCGCCCGCGCACCACAACCCGCGGCCCCTGACGCGCCCGACGCTCCGCGGAAGCCGCCCGGACTGCCAGGCAGCGTCCGCGCGCCATTGGCTGGAGGGGCCGACAGCGCGCACTCCCGAGCCCTCCTATTGGCTGCCATCCCGTCGGCCGGCTATTGCTGAGAGAGGACTCCATCTCCCAGCATGCCCAACGGCGCGGCGGCCGGCAGGGTGTGCCGTGCTTTCTTGCCGCGGGGCACGATGGGTGCTGCAGTCCGTGCCCACAGCGCCCAGGGCTCTCGCTGGGAAGAGCGGCGGTAGCCCGCTCTCGGGACGCACGGCGGCACAGGGCGCTGCCCAGCGCTTCCCTCCCTCTTTCTTAGGCTTGGCCGATTGCGACCTGCCCTGGGCACTCCGTGTCAGTCACAAGGCGAAGGGCTGCCACAGCTAGGGCTGGCTGCTTTTTCTTAAGCTTTTAGGCTTAAGTATCGCGGGCGAAGTCTGTGAGTGTTCCCTGAAGCGGGGCTTCGCCACAGCGTCTGGCAGCAAAACCAATCTCAAGTCTAACCCACCAGAGCAGTGTGGCACGCGAAAATTTTGCGTTTTTTTCAGGAGGTGGCAGGAGGGGAAGGTGCATTGGCAGAGCCAGGCAAAGGTGAACGGTGTCTCTATAAAGGTTTTGCAAGACTGCGTGTTTAAACCACTCTGAGCACATCCACAGCATTTCCAAACTCAAGGTGCCCTGTAATTAAAATTAATTGTCCAGATAGCAGAAAATTATATATTGAAGTTAACAAAACCCACTCCCCAAATATGTTCATACAGAGCTGTGGCCGGTCTCTCCTCAAAATCTTTATTCCTTCAGGTCAGGAATCCGTGAGAAAGAGAAACCTTTAATCTCACAAATGACTGGTTCCATAGCGGAAAACACCAGGGAGGTTGCATCTGCAGATGGACAGAGCCCAGAGGTGGTCACATGTGACGGTGCCTGTCTGCAGCGTTTAAGATGCAGACCCAAACTAGAACCTGAATTTCCTTCTTAAGGGTTTCTTGCCAGAAGAACTGAAACATAAATCCAGAACAGCACAGTCACCGGACTGCAAGGAGTAACAAAATCCAGTCATCCAGTGTGCAGCTATTAATTCTGAGTCTGATCCATCTGTAAACTAACAGAGCTTTGGAGAGAAACCCAATAAAGAGAGTCTTTTGCTTATTAGATTTACAACTCTATAAAAAAGTATAAGCTGGCTTAGATTTACTTCACAGCCCAGCAAAACACTCATTTTACTTGCCCATCGTTATTTATTTTTTTTTAATTCCAAAACCTGAAAAATAAACATTAGGAAACTGTTACCGCCCTTTAAAGGCGCATTGTTATTCATCATCAGTGTGTTTTAGTTTCCACTTTATGTAGTATATGAAGGATTAGGATTTCAATGAAAGAGAAGGACAGAATAAATTGCATCCTCTACCAAAGAACTGGCAGACCTTTTCAGATGGGTGCATACCACAAGCCCTTCCCATGTTAGTCAGCTTTATGTAAACCTTCCAAAGAAATGTCTGCCCCTGAATTTCATGGGTTTCAGGGTCAGTCACAACAGAATTGTGGGGCTGGGGAGGTCAGAGGCCATTTTTGTCAAAGGGTAGCGACCTTTGCAGCAAGAGGTAGCCTGACAAAACCAGGATTCATGCTACTGAATGGAGTTCTCACTGCTCTTCCCCTGCTGAGTCTTTTTTCTACCTGGTAATGAAAAATCTTGAAGAATTGTAGTGGATTTTTATAGGCATACATACATATATACATTTGTGTGTGTGTGTGTGTAGATCTGTTCAAAAATATTAAAAGTGTTATGTCAGTTATGCTGTAATGTATATTAGTTTCTGTTCTACTGTATATATTATATATCTATCATTTATTATATGTCTTAGCCTGTGAAAAAGATCACATCTTTATAAAAATGTGTATTTGTTGTTAGGAAAAAAGAGAATGTAAGCAAGAAATTTAAAAAAAAGACAAAAGAAAAAGGGAAAAGGAAAAGAGGGAAAAAAATAGAAAAAGGAGGAAAGATAGGAAAGAAAGAAGAAAATAGGAAAAATAACAGAAGAGAAACTGCAATTGAGACAGAATATTTCAGAATGTGGCATTAAAGTTTCATCAGCAACGTTTGCATAGTCACATATTTAGTTCATATGCACATAAATGCATGGCTAGGCAAGAAAACCTAACTTTTAGTTTCCATGTTCAAGGAAAATAATTAAATAACAACCCGCAGACGCTGAATCAGGAGGTTTGACAGTTTGTACTGGGATGACTTAAGAAATTCTTGCCCCTCACCAGACATTCTACCCAGAGGTTATGGTGCTCTCCCCAGGCTGCTGCTCTCCCCAGGCTGGTGCACAGCCTGTGACCTGAAAGCTGACATGGTTTGTGCTGCAGTGGCCCAGGATCAGTCCTGCTTTGCTTTGCAGCTCTTCTCATGCAGGAGGTGCCCTCTATTCCACCATTCTATACACTGCCCCCCAAGAATGTCGACTTTGAATTTCAAAGCCCTCATCAGGGAGCAGTTCAATGGTAGTTGGAAGTGCACACTCCTGAGGCATCAACACAAGTTTTTCAATTCATTTTTTAAAAAAGAAAAAAGAAGAAATAATATGGAGGCTTTTTTTGCAAAAGACTTTCCAAGCCCTGTTTGACTGATGATGTTCTTGGCTCTTTTTTATGAGCAGCTTTGTGGTGCTGCTGTTGGTCAGAATTTCCTCTCCCAAGATGCCCAGGATGTTGCAGTTCTCCTTTCAGAAATGTTTTATTATTTCTGGGTCTCACACTGTGTCCGATATCCCTCCTCCCTCCTGAACAGTCTGCCTGAGCTCTTTGGGGTAACAAAGCTGACCCCATAAGTGTGGAAGGATATGGAATATTTGTATGCTAAAATAGTCTCATTTTCTCCTCTTTTTCAGTCAATGGGGATTAGGCTTCTTTTGGTTTAAAAATTTACTATAAAAAAGAGCAGAAGTGCTTCTGGCTTCCCTTGAGTGGTGCTTAGGCTCGCCACCATACTGATCCTTCCAAAAATCCAGCCTTGAGTTACTGGTCAGTTCTACCCACAGATATCTCAGCAGGGCATCTGGTCCTTGGAGGGACCTTGGCAGGTCATGATCACCAGTCCATCAGGCAAGTGGAGGTACATCACCCATTTGCCATGAATTGTACCTGTTCTCAAGTCCTTCCTTGAATAAAAGCATGATGACGTCTAACATTTTTTGAAGGTCTGGAGCTTGTAGAAATTTTTGTATTTAAGTAAATTTAACTGGCATCTATTTACTTTCAAGAACTTTATTTGGGTGTGAAAATCCCTCATATACCTTGCACAACTGTACAAATAACACTTATGTCCATTTTAGACATAAACATGGTTATTGTCACACTGGGTGCTATCAAAGATTTTATTTACAAAACAACTACTAAAATGCCTGTTGTCATATTTCCATTTATTTATTTCTTACCCATAGGGTAATAGGTCCACCATAATTGCTTGGTGCATTTTATAATACAGAAGAAAAAGCTATGTTAATAAAAACTAACAAAAACTCACAAATAGCTACAAATCTGAAGGAAAATGTCTAAGAAAAATTCTCCCCAAAATACAATACATTTTTCCACACATACACAGTACAGAATAACTTCAAAGGCACAGCTTTGAATTTTGCTTTTATAGACGTATAGAGAATTATCACCACGGGAAGGAATTGAGAGAACAGTTTCATACCTGACAATAGATAATTAAGCAAATAATCATGTTTGCATTGTCATTTTCTTTATATAATTGCTTCATATCATCATATTTAACATACGTGGCTCTGAATTCAAAATCTTCCCAGTCTCAAGTTCCTTCTTACCTTGTCATTACTAACCAGAGAAGTTAGATTTTTCCAGATTGTGCAAACTCAACACAAATACATATATAATAAGAACAACAGTCAACTTAAGGCAGTGTATAATTCAATGCTACATGTCTTTTCTTCTCTTTTGTAAAGATCAAACTTACTAGATCAACAGAAAGGTGCATCAATATACAAAGTTAGGTGTAAACTGAAACCTACAGCAACTCATGTCCTTTTAAGGAACCAGATAGAGGAATTGATATGAGTAAGTGATGACTTGGCAGAATGGTTTTTAAGGAATGCGTTAAGAGCTTAAAAGAACAGATGATGGAGTTTTGCTGAGGGCAAATTTCCTGTCTTTAATTCAAATTATAAATGGGTCCTGTTTCAGTACTTTTTTTTTGTAAGACTCATTAATGTTTGTCAATAAGAGAGGGGGTAAAACTGGCTCATTCAAACTTAGAGCACACAGGGTTGTCCCAGAATTAAAAAAGGCACCGATCGGCCCAAAAAGTGGTCTAGAACAGCACAAAAGTGTTTTTCAGCTACAGGAACATTCGGTTATACTGGTCTGCAATCTGCCCATATCAGGAAAAATATTTATCTGCCCAGGATCTTTTCCATTTTCACCTTCCTTGAAGAATGTCCACAAAAAGTCCCACATGGCATGAAGCTTTTGTAACTCCTGCAAGTGTGTGGGCTCAGCTTATAGCAGTCATCTTCATTTAGCCCAGCCTGTAGTGGCTTCCCCATTGATGTATGCAAAGCCGGGAAAGTGTTGCATGTGCTCGTACTCAGAATTCCTGCGTGCTGTCAAGGGCGCGTACATGTCACTGGAATTGCCGTATCTTGTGGAGTGCATGGAGGAGCTGGTGTAGCAGGAGTTGGCAGCTGGGACCTCTGGCCAGCGCGGAGTCACTGGTGTGGGATGCAGCCTGGGAGTACTGCTCATCAAACAGGGCTCCATTCTTGATGTTGGGCCATTGAAGGGGTACTAGAATTAAAAAAAAAAACAAGAAATCAAAGAATCATCTGCCGCATACTTCATTTTAAAA